GTTTAGATCAATTTAATAATAATCATTTTTAATAATCTGTATTATTTTTAATTTACCAGAAACTTCAAAAGAAATTCTCACCCTGTACTGAAACCTGTTTCAGCATCTCACCACCATCAGCTGGTGAGAGGCGGGTGACCTCAGTTTGAACCTCGCCCACTGGAACCAGTACTGAAAGCATAAAGGGGCACTGTGGAAACGGAAAATGAAGCGGTCTGACCTGTACCAGCCCAATAAGGCCCAATAGGGCAGACCCGAGCAGGACATGTGGATAAGGGGCTTAAGTGTATCCTGAAAGGTGATAAACAAGTGTTTTATTGGGCTGTGAAAGGAAGGTGTGCCTCATTGTTTTCCTGTTCAGGTTTCAGATCCTGACTCGTGTTTTGTTTTCTCTTTCACCAGTTTATGACCCCAGAGCGGCACAAGGACACTTTCCTTCCCCGTCAGCTGCTCTCTGCATACAGACTAAAGGCATGCATTATGCAGACATTTGACTTTGGCATTGTCTGTGTGTGTGGCATCTTTGAGTAGCCAAAATCTGTCTGTCCTCTGTGCAACACGATCCATCTGCTGTGCAGTATCCACGTCAGGAACAAACACCCACTTGTCTTTCAGACTTCACACTTGCTAATCAGTTGCCCTGCAACAGAAGGTAAGAAAACAACAGTATTCAATAAGCATAGTAGATATGAGTTGAGGCATGAAACGTTTCATGCCTCAACTCATATCTGCTACACTCATAGCAATAATAAAGCCTTAATTGCACTTACATCAATGCAGACAACTACTTATATCATGAAGCAATCAGGATTGTGAGAATAAACAGAAGTGCTCTTCATTTTCCGAGAGAGTTACAACAAAAATCTTTTACTTTTCCCAGCCCAGAGGTGCAATTAATCACAGAAGGAACTGTGACAGAGGAGAAGACAGTTACTCTTATCATCACTGGGCACATAAACGTCATTAATCATATGATAAATGGGAAAAAGAGATCACATGTGTCTGCATGCGTTTGGGTTTAATTCAGTTTATTTATATATAAAAGGTCTGCACTGTAAGGAAATTGTGAGCTTACAGAAAAAAATCTAAGGCAGTGTTACGCTACTGTACGCAGCTTTTATGAGTAAAATGTGGAAGAAAATATCAGTGTGACTCGTTGATTTTAAATGTATTTTAATGATACAATATTAACTTTTATTTCACTTTAAAAGTAATGATCAACCACAGAATTGAAAGATAAGTATCAGAAAAAATATATACTCTGTTCACCAAATACAGATAAATGTAAATCAACAATATACAACGACAGAGTTAAACAAAAGGAGACACACACAATGATGCCATGTTTTAAAAATCTACAATTGATTTATTACGCTTCTCTAGCTTTTCGGCTAGAATGCCTTGCTTTAAGGCCTTTTTGACCACTTCCTGCATTTCTCAAAAAACAGTTAAGTTCTGTTAATGAAAGCAATGGACATTTTTCTATCTACGTTTCTTTTTATACGCCACTACTGGTTGCGTTTTTGTGTTACAGTATACTGTACGAGTTTTGATTTAATGAAGATGTTTTCGGCTCAGAACAATGTGAAACAACGACATCTGTCGGCCATTTTAAAGAACTGCAGCCGGAAGTTTGAGCGTGTAGCTGAAAATTGTTAGCATGGGTAACAACATAACTGGTTTGTTCCACTTTGGAGTAAGCTGTTGAGGGAAGAATCAGTTTTGTGTTGTGTGTTTCCTTGACTGATGAAGCTTTCTGGATCGAAGGCGAAACGTTTCAGCACAAAAAAAAAGAAACCGTCCAGATCATAGATATAAACACAGATGACTTGACTGAAAAATGTTGGACGTTAGCATGGGTGTTAGCTGTGACGACAGAGCCCGCCTACCTCATCTTTGTCCAATCATCATTCTACTTTGAAACTAACCAACCAATCACAGCAACCTTGTACCAGTCTCTGCCAAAAAGAAAACACGAAGTGATGTTTTCATTTCTAAATAAAATAATGGGAAATAAAACTGTGATTAGCCTGTCGGATGTAAAAAAAAAAAAAAAAATA